CCTAAATGCCCTAACTGCAGCTATATGCCTGCCCTTGCCTTTTATCTGCCCAGTACTGTTTGGGGAAGTATACTGAGCAAAATCTCTAAGTAAAATTGGCCCTTTCTGTTATATGAAGAAGTTCATTTCTTTCCTGAAAGAATACAGTAGAAACTTAAATCTCATCAGTTGTAACAAGTTGTACCTATTCACAGCTCTGACTATAGCAGCCATTTGAGGGAGTGAACCAGTGAATGGAAGCTTCTCTCTCTGTCCCTCTTTCTTTCTATAATTCTGACTTTCAAGTAAAACAAACAAAACATTTTAAAGATGTATTTATTTGGAGGCCAAAGTTACAGAGTGGAAGGGAGAGGCAGGATCTTCCCTTTGCTGGTTTCCTCCCCAGATGGCCGTAACAACCTCCAGGGCTAGGCCAGTTTGAAGCCAGGATTCAGGAGCTTCACATAAATAACAGGGGTTCAAGTACCTGGGACATTTTCACAGATGATTAGCAGGCAGCTGGATCAGGAGTGGATTGGCAGCCAGGGCTTGAACCAGCTTCCACGTGGGATGCTGGCATCACAAGCTGTGGCTGTACCTGCTGTGCTCCAGTGTCAGTTCTGTCACCGTTCTTGCAACCTAAAATGTTTGTACCTAAATGTCAGTGTTCTATGCAACTAAAAATTCCGTGTTTAATGGAATAATTAGATTAGAAATGTCAAAACAAGTATACATTCATTAAATAATCTTATATTTGTTGTTTATTTTTTTTCTCTTAGGAAAATTTTCAAGAATGAGAATGAAAAATACACAGAATAATTGCCTATCTGTTTAACGACACACTGTGGGGGCAAATGGGAACTTTTTAAGTTCTATGAATCCTGATTTGTTGAAGAAATTAATTGAATTCTGATACATTTTTCTGAATAATAAGTTTAGTATTTTAAAGCAGGGCTTGTAAGAGACCATATTAGAGTTGCTAGTTATTTTAAAAGTTCTAACAATATCTAAACAAAAGTTCAAGCTAAATGCTGAATATCATGGCAAAATAATCATGAATTGTTAGAGAAAAAATGGTACCAAACTTAGCTTGGAGAGACAAAGAGAAAGTCAATCAACCACTTGTTTACTATGTCAAGTAAATGTATTTTAAAATGCGAAATGTTTACTTTAAAAAATAACTTTATGAAGTAGAAATAGTCCTATTTTATAGAATATTAAATTGTCACCTAAACAATAATGAATGGCAGATTCAGTCCATTGTATTCTGGCTTCAGGAAAACCATTTTTTCTTGAATCCTTTCCCCAATCTTTTGTATTTATTTCTCTGGCATTCTGGAACATGGAATTTGAGAACCTACCTTTTTCTTTTAGGTGAAATATAGAGAAAAAGAATACAAGCAAATATGGAAAGTGAGGACACAAAGAAAACACAAGGTGAGCGATTCATGGATCATGTATCTAGAAGTAGTTTTAGATTGTATTTATAGGTCCAGTTCCATGTTTGTGGCCTGGGAAAGTGCTCACTGTACCCAAGTGGGAGACCCAGGGGAGGTTCCTGGCTTTAGTTCAGCTTCTGTCATGGCAGCCATCTCACCTCCTATCTGTAAATTTGACTTTCCAATAAAAGTAAATAGGGCCCAGCAGCGTGGCCTAGCGGCTAACGTCCTCACCTTGAACGCACTGGGATCCCATATGGGCGCTGGTTCTAATCCCAGCAGCTCCAATAAAAGTAAATAAATTTTTTAAAAGATTTATTTATTTTTATTGGAAAGGCAGATATACAGAGAGGAGGAGAGACAGAGAGGAAGATCTTCTGTCCAATGATTCACTCCCCAAGTGACCGCAACAGCTGGTGCTGAGCCAATCCAAAGCCAGGAGCCAGGAACTTCCTCCAGGTCTCTCATGTGGGTGCAGGGTCCCAAGTCTTTGCGCCATCCTTGACTGTCTTCCCAGGCCACAAGCAGGGAGCTGGATGAGAAATGGAGCTGCTGGGATTAGAACCGGTGTCCATATGGGATCCCAGCATGTTCAAGGCAAGGCGAGGACTTTAACCACTGTACTATTGTGACAGGCCCAAGAATAAATAAATCTTAAGGTCATAGTCATTGATCAGTTTACATAAATATTGAGCATCTGCTCTTTGTCTCCTAACTTGTGTTGTCTGCAAATAGACACCCTCCTGTGAATGGACAAGCTGATCATTAGAAAATTATCTGAGTAACTTAGTAGTGATCAATACAAGAACAATGGCAGTATATACCTCTCAGTATATGCCTGGAGGTAGATTTCAGAATTGTTCTGAGAAAGATGGTAATTGAATCCATGGGCATGAAGGAAGTTGATCAGAGGAAATTATTTAAAAAAAAAATATGGGGAATTAGTATCCCTCAATACATATAATCACATAAAAGTTTAGTGGGCCTGGCACGGCAATCTAGTGGCTAAAGTCCTTGCCTTGTCAGCACCAGGATCCCATAAAGATGCCGGTTCTAATCCCAACCACTCCATTTCCTATCCAGCTCCCTGCTAGTGGCCTGGGAAAACAGTGAAGGAAAAGCCCAAAGCCTTGTGACCCTGCACTCACGTGGGAGACCAAGAAGAAGCTCTTGGCTCCTGACTTCGGATTGGCTCAGCTCTGCTCCAGCCATTGTGGCCTCTTGGGGAGTAAATCATTAGATGGAAGATCTTCCTCTCTGTCTCTCCTCCTCTCTGTGTATATGCCTTTCCAATGAAAAATAAATTTAAAAAAAGTTTAGCTGATGAAGAGAGTTTTCCAAAAAAGGACAAAGAATTGGCATTGTGGTGCTGAGCGAGAGCTGTCATCTATTGGTTCACTCCCTAAATGGCTGCAACAGCTAGAATTGGGCCAATATGAAGCCAGAAGCTAGGAGCTTCTTCTAGGTCCCACATGTGTTCAGGGACCCAAGCACTTGGGCCATCTTCCACTGCTTTTCAAAGCATATTAGAAGGGAGCAGGATTGTAAGCCAGTATTATAACAGTGCCCATATGGGATTCCAGCATCACAGGCTGTGGCCTTATGTGCTAAACCGAAGAATTCTAAGTTTTATATTGTATAAAGAGCATCTTTTTATATACCTTTATAATTTATTAGATTATAAAGTAATGCATGTGCATATTTACAAAGTTGAACATTCTAAAGATATATAATACTAAAGTAAAACTGGTTAATTTTTAAAAGAAAACTTTTACTTAAAATTTTTGATTTTTAGAAATGAAGACCGACGTGAACTTATTATTAGAGTGTATAAAACATCAAATGGACAATCCTGTTTCACAAAAGGAAGCTTTGGTCACTATTCATTCAATTTGTCAACAAAACAGTAAGATACAATAGAGAATTTTTATCTGATTCTGGTTCTTTAGCACTGTGTTATGTAAATGTGCATACTTTTAAAGCTTCTACTCAGTATACATGTTGTGTTGCTTTATTCATGCATTTTGTTATATCCTTTAAAAAAATAATGAAAATAAACAGTTTCTATTTTTTTTTTTTTTGTTTGCACCCCTACAGGTAACGCAGGTGTTTATTTTAGGGAAATTGGTGGTTTGGTGTTTTTAAAAAACCTTGCAAAATCAAGTGAACATAGGGTGGTAAAAGAAGCAGCCTTATATACATTAGGAGCTATTGCAGAAAAAAATGGTAAAATATAAAATTTAATTTCATTTTTCTTCAATAATTCTGTTTTATTTAAACTACTAAGAAATAATTTCAGAATTAAGCAATTTTGTTTTGCTTGTATGGGTTGTTTTATCAAGGTACTTTAATCAAAGGAAGAGGATGACCATGTTGTATCAGGGTTAATAGGCTATATGTGCAGAAATTCATGTTGACAAAAGTATTTTTCTGTGGTGCACTTGAAATGAGGTTATCTAAACCACTGATTTGCCAGCTCAACGTTATATTCTTAAAATTTTAACTAGATATTGCTTTATTACCTATGCAGAACCAAGCTCTGTGCTAGTCTTTGGGCATGTTGAGATAAATTATATACCCCTTGCCTTTGAGACAGGGTAGATAACAAGTTCTAGGCAGGTATAGGTGCTGATTGCATCACTGTATTCAAATTATTTTTGTAAAATTATACTTATTTCAAGAGTATTACAAAAATTAAAGTCATGTGAGTTATGTTTTTAAAAATATTTTTGTTTCTGGAAAAGTAAAAAACATATCTTCATTTTATTTTCTAATGCAGATTTATGAGTTTTCTCAAACTTTCATTTGCTGTGTTTATCTTAAAACTGTCATACTTAATTTTTTTATTTAGGTTTTTTTATTGGAAATTCTGAGATTGCAGTGTGGTTTTTGAGTTGAGATCAAGTACTTTTCATTAAGATAATTGCTTCTTTTGTCTGCTTATTGAATTAAGCACATATGAGTTTGAGATTTTGTTGTATGACTAATAAATGTCAGTTAAGTTAGATCTGATTAAGAACCATTCCAACCTTGAAAACTTAGACATATTTTAAAGCTTGTTTGTGTTAATATATTGAAACTAAAATTATATTTTTATATTTCAGTTTATTGTCAACAAACTTTATGTACTTCAGAATTTTTTGAAGATTTAACTTGGTTCTTATCTAATAATGACTCAAACACAAATTTGAAAAGAATGTCTGTCTATGTTATTTTGGTTCTGGTTTCAAACAACAGTAAGTATATTCTCTTATGACATTAAAATATTTAAAGAAATTTCAAGATTATGCTTTTTGGGGTCATTTTAAAAATATTTCATTTATTTGAAAGACAGATGCATCTTTTATATGCTGCTTCACTCCCAACCAAATGACCACAAAGTTGGGGTTGGGCCAGGCTGAAGCCAGGAGCCGGGAACTTCATCAAGGTCTCTAATGTGGGTCCAGAGCCCAAGCTCTTGCGCTTTCCTCTGCTACTTTCTGAGACACATTAGCAGGGAGCTAGGTTGGAAGCAGAACATTTAGGGCTAGAACCAGTTCACTTATGGGCTGACAGCAGGAAGAGACTTAACCTGTTATACTGCAGTGCTTGCCCCAGGGATCATTTTTATGTAATTCCTTCCAAGAGATTTACCAGAAAGTGCAGAGCGCCAGAAACCACTTGGAGGAGGAGCAGTGTTCTCTGCTGAAGATGAAGCCAGCTGTTGGTGTTGCTTTGCTGTAACTGGTGTTTGCCATGGGTGGTGGTTCTTTTCTTTGGGAGAGTAACAGGGAGAGAATGTTGTCTGATTGGCTTACATTAAATTAACAAACTGGAATGGTTATGATTTTCAAAATTCAAGTCTTTATATAAATGCCTGCTTTTAAAAATATTGGTTTATTCCCCAGATAAAACAGTAGTCAGAGTTGGATCAAGCCAAGGTGGGGAGGGGGGTACTCAACCCAGGCCTGCTCCTGGGTAATAGGCACTTAGTCACCTGAGCTGTTCCTGTACATTAGCAAGAAATTGGAAGAGGAGTAGAGCTGGGACTTGAACATAGATACCTGGTGTGGGATGTTAGCTTCTTAACTGCTAGGCCAACTGCCTGTCCCACATGTCTTTTAATTTGACTCCTGAGAAATGCTATCTTTAAAAAAAAAAAGGCAATTAATAGCATTTATTTAACCATTTGATATTGTTATTTTTAAGATTTATTTATTTTTAATTAAAGGGCAGATTTTACAGGGAGAGCTCTTCCATCTACTTCACTCCCCAAATGGCAGTCACCGAGCTGAGCTCATCCAAAGCGGGGGGTCAGGAGCTTCTTCAGGGTCTCCCTCATTGGTGCAGGGTCCCAAGGACTTAGGCCATCTTCCTCTGCTTCCAGACTGTAAGCAGAGATCTGGATTGCAAGTGAAGTAGCTGGGATGCAAACCAGCACCCAAATGGGGAACTGGCTCCACAGGGCAGAGAGTTAGCTTGGTACACTGCTGCACTACTCTATGCCTGCTCTGATATTTGGTCAATTTAAGAGTTATTTTTAGGGCCTGGTACACTAGCCTAGTGACTAAAGTGCTCACCTTGCAAATGAATGAAAAGTTACAGCTTTGAAGGGAAAGAGAATCAAACGAATCACTTAGTAGATTTACTGAAAACGTGGCCAATTAGTGTTTATTATATTAGACAATGGTTTTTATTTTTTGGAATAATTTTAGACTTTCAGAGATAATGTAGAATCTGTATATCTGCTGTGCAGGCCATGTTTTTTTTGTTTTTATTCTTTTAATATTGCTGTATTTTTTTCAGATTGTTAGAACTTTTACATTCATTTAATGTGCAATTTTTTCTATTTTGGAAAAACTAGAAAGGATCAAATATTTTTTCTTATTTTGTATCCTTTTTTTTGTGTTGTAACACAGACTATGAGACTTAGTAAAGGTTTAAGAAATGTGAATGCTGTCAGACTCTGAGCATAAGTAATGCATTTTCCATAATCTTGATTATGGATTTTTCTATTATAGTAAAATTTTAATTACAGAATATAAAATTTTTTTGCAAAGTTATTTCTAAAATCATTCACATGATATTTTTTTTCTTTTTTTAAGGAACTGGACAAACACTCGTGAGAGAAACAGATTGCATTACTGTTCTGTCACAGTTGTTTAAGTAAGCAAATACAAATTCTTGTTACTTAGTCATTATTTAAAACCTTAACACATTTGTATTAATTTACTTCCTTTTCTTTTTACCCTAATAGGAAAATTCTTTCAAAATATGATTTGGATTTGTCAGATGAAAACGTTTTCCAGAGTTACCAGTTGTGGGCTTCAGTATGTAGTACTCTGTGTGTCTGTGTTAACAATCCTCAAAATGGTAATAATTTCAAACATTTAATTATAAAATTAGAGTAAAAAATATTAAAACTGATATTCAGTGTGTCATACATGATTGCCTTTGTCTTTCAGATGAAAATCAAAGGTTTTGTTGCTCACTTTTTTCACATGCTAATGATTGGCTAATGAACTGCATGAAACCTGAGATAATTCGCCCTATTTGCTCTTTCATTGGACTCACTCTTGCAAATAACAGTTAAGTATTTGCTATTGTCTAGGTCATATTTGAAGAAACATACTTTAAAAAATAACAATTTAATTCATGGTTTCATTAGTGTTACAATGATTTGGATCATAGTTGATGCATTTACATTCTTGAAGCTGAGGAAATCTCAGGCCCAGTACCATGGCTCAATGGCTAAATCCTCACCTTGCAAGTCCAGGATTCCATATGGGTGCCGGTTCAAGTACCAGCTCCCCCAAGATATTAGAGAAACTGGATAGCAGAACTAAAAATCCATGGGGTATATTTTAGATCACTATGGAATTAGAAATGAACAAAAATAAAACATCTAGAAAAAAACTTAAAATTTGGGTAAATAACTTAGTATTATTTTTAAAAGCCAAAATATAAATCATAAAGGAAATTATTTTTAGGTACTTATTTATTTGAAAAGCAGAATAACAATAAGATGTAGGCAAGAGACCTTTTATCAGCAAATCCACCCCCCAAATTACTCAAGTTACTACAGCCAGGATTGGGTCAGACCAGAGCCAGGAGCTTCATCTGGGTCCTCTCACATAGAAGTTTGGGGGCCCAAGCACTTGGGACATCCTCATTTGCCTTCCCAGGTGGATTACCAGGAAGGTGGATGGGAAGCAGAGCATCTCAGACTCAAACTGGTACTCCAACATGGGATGTGAATATCAGAAGTGGCAACTCAACTTGCTGTACTACAACACTCAACCAAAGGAAATTATTTTTAAAGGTTTATGTATTTATGTATTTATTTTTATTGGAGAAGCAGATTTGCAGAGAGAATGAGAAACAGAAAGATCTTCCCTCTGCTGGTTCACTCACAATAGCTGAGTGGATCTGAAGCCTGGAGCCAAGGGCTTTTTCTGGCGTTCTCATGTGAATGTGAGGTCCTAAGGCTCTGGGCCATCCTCCACTACTTTCCCAGGCCACAAGCATGGAACTGGATAGGATGCCTAGCAGCTGGGACATGAACCAGCACCCTTATGGGATCCTGGTGCTTGCAAGGCAAGGATTTAGCCATTGAGTCATTGCACGAGACTCTGTTTGAGAATCTTAACTCTGATAAAGAACTGTATTCAGAATATGTTAAAAACTCTTACTAAAATATCAATAGTAAAACAGACTAATAATTTTAAAAGTGGACAGAAGAAATGAACAGATAAGCCTCCAAAGAAGATATGACTGTTAAAGAAGTACTTGAAAAGTATTTTAAGTACTTGAAAAGTATTTAAAGATTCTGTTACAGAAATCCAAAGTAACACTTCAGAGAAATACATGGCCAGGAGTGTGGCTAAAAGACTGGTAGTGTTAAATATTGGTGAGAGTGTGGAGCAACTAGAACTTCCACACATTGCTGATGTTTATCTATATTCAAGTGTTAAAAGTAAATACTATTTTTTTCACATGCAAAAGAATATATATCTAGAATTCCAAAAACTAGAATCTATTTTTACAATACTGTAACATTAATTTTTTCCTCAAACCAAACTTGAATGAATAATATGTGTCTTTTATACAATGAATAAGTTGTATGAAGTGCAGTGTAATATGTTGATGTGAGATGCTCTCAAAATAAGTTATCTTAAGGATATAAATCTATGCAAAGGAAGAAATTAATTTTCTAATTCTTTTGACTCTGAGATTCTTAATATTTGGAAAAAGTCAATGTTACATTTAATGCAGATTAGTTGATGAAGTTACATACTTGTTTGAGATATTGATTGTTGTACTTTATTCCTAAAGCATATGTACAGAAATGCTTTGTAACTGTGGGTGGATTGGATGTATTGTCCCAAGTTCTTGTGCAGCTGGAATCTGATTCACATAAGACTAACTCCAGTGCTAATCTTGCTGTTGTGGTGACGAAAACACTGGATGCATGCATTGCTGACAATTGTGAGTGAAAATAGTTATAATTGCTACATTTAAATTTTGCTTAAAATCATGGAGAATGAAGAAATAGATTGAACGTAAAATGATCTGGACTTCTAGTTTGTCATAGACAGAAACTAATCTTAAAAATTATCTAGCACAACTCTTTTTTTAAAATAATTATTCATTTATTAAATTTCAAAGTCAGATTTACAGAGAGGTGGAGAGACAACATTTTCCATCTGCTAGTTCACGTTCCAAGTGGCTGCAACAGCCAGAGCTGAGCGAATCCAAAGCCAGGAGCCTGGAGCTTCCTCCAGGTCTTCCACGTGGATGCAGGGTCCCAAGGCTTTGGGCCATCCTCAACTGCTTTCCCAGGACACAAGCAGGGAGCTGGATGAGAAGTGGAGCTGCTGGGATATGAACTGCATCTTGGCACTTGCAAGGCAAAGACTTTAGCCACTAGGCTACCACACTGGACCCTAACACAACTCTTTATACTTCCTTAAACTGAAATGTAGGCCTTTAAGTTTAAAATTCAGGTGATATAATCAAAATTGAGCTCCATCATCACTTTCAAAGTTTTATTTCACTTGAAGAGCAATGTTAAATGCAGAGTTTAGATTTGAAATCAAGGCAGATTTTAGAAATGTAAGAAATGGAAAAATCCAACATATAGGTTTGTAAAAATTACATAAAGAATTAATATATGCATCATTCTGATAAGTATAAGGTGTGAATTACCCATGCACTATAACACTGAATGAGTGGCAGAACCACTTGAACCCATGTTTCTTGCATGTACTGGCACTGAGGAATGACAATCTATAAACTAGGATAAGAAATTCTATTTATAAAAATAATTGGGATAAACGTAGATGGTTTTTGAAAAAAGATTAAAGAAAACTTGCCATTTGTTGAGCTCTAGAGATTACAAAAAGGGTTGAGACAGTGTCTCTTGGGGATTTTTAGCCTTATTATTGGCATCAATATTATATTCTGAGTGTGCTTTGGAGAAGTTTAGCTTCAAATGATGAATTTCCTGAACTTTGTCACACCTCAGCATGGCTTCAGATATGTTTTATTGCATCATTAATGATAGCAGAACCTTGATCACCTAATAATAATTTTCAGTTTTAATAAATAAGAAAAGGATATACAGGGGGAGCATAAGCTTATTCTACTTTAGAAAGATAGTTTTATTTTATGTTTATAAAATTATGCAAAATAATTGAGAGATTAATGAGTCACTGCAATAAACCTTCATCTTACTTTCATATTTATACAGGTAAATTAGATGTTATATAATCTTGAGTAAACAAATAGACTGTATATTTATGTTTTAAATTT